GTCTCTCTCTCTACTCTCTGTCCTCTCTCTCTCCTCCTCTCTGTCCTCCTCTCTCTCTCTCCCTCTCTCTATCTATTTATCTATCTCTCTCTATCTCTCTCACACACCCTCACTCACTCTCTCTTTCTCTCTCACTTTCTCTCTTTCTCTCTCTCTTTCTCTGTCTCTCTCTCTCTCTATTTCTCTCTCTCTCTTGAAGAGTAGCTTGTTGGTTTGCGCGAACTAAAATTTGCTTTAAATGTCAGTATCAGTAAACGGCGATAGTACCTGTATAAACAATCGGTGAGATCTAACAACTTTTGACGTGTACTGCGAACCTGTGTGTCTATTTTCGGTGGTATTCTTGTTTGATGACTTTTTTTATGTGAAGTACTTATAAAAAAAGGTTATGGGCGGTAGCGAAATGGTGTAAGATTGTCCTCAGCTACTCATTTGGCCTTGAGATATGTGAACGTCTAGTCAACCTTTCCTACGTACTCTATCCGACAACTTCGGAAGGATAAACAAACTATCGTGCACACCTACTCATTCGAACAAAATAAACTAGCCGAACTCTACTATCTTTGTGGTTTTATATCAAACAGAACTATTTTAGATTTTGAACTTTTGCATTTTAAATGGTCTGACTGATCCGGCACAAGTGCTGAGAAATCTTTTTCAGAATGTGATGCAGTGCTATATACAAAACACCTTGAACTATGTATTTTTGGTGCACATATTCGCGTAAATAAGTAATTGCACTCGGCTGTGTTAGTAGACGAATTGACCATCTAAATGTTAATAAGACCAATATCAATAAACATATGTATGCAGGAATGTATTCCGTGGCAATTTTATGCATCTTCGTATTTTTATACTTTTCAGAGTCCACACAACACACCATGTGCAAATCGATCAAGAAACAAAGAAGTGCTTCACAAGGCCAGCCAACAAACTATATGCGACAGTAGGCATCTAGCTGCTAGCCAGAGTATTGCTAAGTATCAATCAATTCAAATGATTTTACCTCCATAAACCTGTTCAAGTCATTGCTCAATGGGCTCGAAATCTCTGATATCCGCGAGTAACTCGAAACGAGTTATGGATTCGTCATCTGTGCAATGAACGCTATTATTATTTTCTAATAAAGCTGTTATTAGCAAATCCGCGTAGTCAGGGCATGCCAATTTCACTCTCAGTGTGTAAAGGGGGTGACAAGGGTCCAAAAGTTATGGATTCGTCATCTGTGCAATGAACGCTATTATTATTTTCTAATAAAGCTGTTATTAGCAAATCCGCGTAGTCAGGGCATGCCAATTTCACTCTCAGTGTGTAAAGGGGGTGACAAGGGTCCAAAATTCGCCACAGCGACCAGCCTGTCGAACTTTTCGCTATAATTGTCTTCTTGGAAGTATCAATTTCTTGCACTCAGTCTGTACGGCATTGTGCTGCACTGCCCAGAGAATCTCGTTCACAAAGTCTATATATTCTAATAATTTTAATTTAGCTTCAACTGTCCTAGATCATCCACGCTACTGGGCCAACTCAAAAACGCAGGTGCATTCTCGGCTGGTGGGCGGGACAAATCCTTCTGCAGTATGCGATGGAGGTGAAGGGTTACTAAAGTGATCATTAACCACATTTGCAAAGATATTCAACATTTTTATCCGCTCTTTAGTATCACATATAGCTTCAGAATCAAGAAATGAAATCTCACACACAATCCCGCGACTCATTCGTTGGCTATCGAGATGTACACAAAGCTTTCTTCCAAAAACCAGCTCACAAAAAAAATGTACAAAGCTGCACGCATTACCGCATTTCCTGGCACAAGTGGACTGCTAATTCGCTCAGAACTTGAGGGTTTCAATGGGCTCATGGTCGGCATTTCCATGCTCGTGCGATGTCTAGGACTATTTGAATTCGATCTCGATAGAAAACTACTATCTGTCTCCATGCTCGGCCGTGGTGATCGCACATCCTCTGCTTGATTTGAGGTTAAGAACGATGTAGACGGGGGTGGCGAGTGTTTGGGTCGACTAGGTGGCCCGTCATCGACTTCTGGCTGTCGTTTTTGTGCCGGAGTTTGATATGCATCGTATTGTAGCTTTTTTTTTGTGAACCAGCCAGACACACTCGATTTAGCTGATAGCCACGCGGCCGCTGATAGGTGAAGACAACAAAGGTACTGAATATACTTACATACCTATATGATATACTATTACAACCCAGATGCACTTGCTTACAGTTTGTGCAGCTAGAACAATTTAAGCGAAAGCAACGAAGAGTATTGTAGAGCGGTCTGCACAAAAGCTCCGTGCAACGCAATAATATACGCTAAAATCGACAAAGTTCAAAATCGATTGTATCACGGTATAACATACAAACTTCAGTCGAGGCTTGCTTGAGTGCTATACCAGCTTCGTCTGCCTGTTTCTGCGCCTCCTTCACTTGCTCTTCAGTCATATTATCAAACATTTTGCTGTGCAGTAGAAAAATACAATTAACTATCTATGTGGATAGCTTGTGCGCAAGAAACTAGTAGAAAGCCACGATATTGTAATGGTCGGAGTGTACCTCGCACAAGAATACTTACTTGTTCAATTGAATTTTTGCGTCAGCAAACGTCCATTTCCCTCTATTCGGATGCCTGTGCCAAAATATAGCAATATTGTACTTAGAATGGCTGAAAATTTTGTCGTTAGTTAAATACAAACAAGGTGCTATAAACGCCTTTGCCTATGCAGACTTGAAACACCTTTAGCTGAACAGCTTAAACACTGTACATACCCTGCTGTCACAGACGAAAGAACTGTCGGATCTACCACGGACTTCCAGGCGGCATAGTTACTGGTAGTACTCCAACCATTGACGAAGTCTGAATTAAATGTCGTAATCCCATCGTACCGCTTGTCACGGTCGGTCTTTGTTGCGGCAGTTATGAAATCAAGATAGGTTGCTATATACGATTGCATGTAGTTCTCAAACATTTTCCTAACCCAAGCATTGCTGCCATTGAAAGTCAAGGCGTCACGCCCAGCGTCGGGACCTTCGGACACCCACGTGGCATCGACCTCGGAAGTTATTTTGTCCATAAACCTGAGATCCTCAGTGGTGAGTCTCAGTTGATCGTTCAAGGCCGATCCATTGATTTTCACGGTGCCAATCTCGAAGTCCACTACAGCATCCAGAGGTATCTTATTATGTGAAAGCAGGAGGGCATTCGTGGTGCCAACCAGAAATGAGCGCGCGTTCCCTATATATATCAGGTCCGCATCTTGCAAGGTCAAGTACGGCTGGAAGAGACAATCTTTGGAGAAAGGCACGAAGGGCAACCCAAGACGCTTGTGCAGCTTTTGTTCGAAGCTATCAGTGTCTCTGAAGTTAAGTTCAAGCGTAGTCGAACTATGAGATTTCTGCTGCATACGTACCTGAGATGCAAAACCATGAGATGATACATGTGGTGGATCTCGTAACAATACAGAAGTATGATATATATAATCAGATGGCAAAATCAAAAACCTGCCCATCAAAGTAGCCCAGGCGTACGCAGTATCAAGCAACTAAGAGTGAAACTGTCAAAATAAAAGTACGCTCAAAAATTGAAGAACACTGGTCTTTTCCGTAGAATACAAAGACTTCCATGCAGAGCAATTTGTGAATCCGGCCCAAAAAAAATTCCCCTCATATATCAAATAAGATCTCATTCTACTCCAGATAAGCCCGACGACATGAGCAACAAAGTAAAGGTACGTACACCACATCACCGAAGCAATGAACTTTACATACGTGAAATCTTATAAATTGCTCTCAACTCAACCGATACAGTCTCAGATCATTCACACTAGACAAAAACATCTCACCTCGTGCAAAATTTACACCTCCGTAACCATACAGCTCGCAGCTAATATGTATGTATATATATATATATATATAT